TTTTGGGGGTTTTTTTTTTTTTTTTTTTTTTTTTCCTGAACAATCCCACAGATACTCTGCCTTTCAGGAAAAAGAAAAAAAAAATCTTAAGACAGATGTGCTTCCTCAAAAGTGAATCAAATATGTTTTTGCCAATGGAAGCTAAATTTTTTTCACCTGTCTCACAAGCTAGACTGAAATAGATTCCTAAAACCATCTAAAATCAGAAAAGAGCTGTGTTTCCTCCCCAACGCCTTCCTTTCACAGATGAAAAAATAGAGCCCACTTGGGACACTTGGGACAAAACCTGGAGCTCAGACACAGATTTCCTGGCCAGGACCTCACTCTGAAGACTAAACTACTGAATTTAGAAAAATATTTCCCTTGCTATTTTATGACACTTAGCGCAGTACGATAGCTAGTAAAGTGATCAAATGAATTGTGGGGAAGAGACAAAAGTCCCTCAGGAGGCAGAAATAGAAGTAGTGGAAGTGGCATGTCTCTGACCACCAGGCCCGTGACCCGCCACTCTCCCGCACGTCCTGCAAATGAACAGAGGACTCGTGGACACAGGCCCTGGCTGGCTGCTGCCTGAAGAAAACCCACTCTGCTCACAAATGTGCACTTGAGGCCAAGGCCCTTAGAGGCTTGGCAACGGTGGTTTCCTCAGCTTCTGCTTTCCTCTCTGGCTGGCTGGCTCTTCTGCCTCTCTTCCCTTTCCAGGATGTCCTGAGTTCCTTTTAAAGCAAATGCCAAGTTTCCAAAAAAGTGTCCACGTGTGTGTGTGCGTGTGCACGCGCGGTGTGTGATTTTATACCACTCTTCACAATTTGTCCCGGTCTGTACCTCCACCACTCTCAACCCTGGTGTTAATCCCCAAATGCTGAATGCCCCTAAGGGTGGATTGCTCAGGTAAGTCACTTCTCAAGCTGTGGGTGAAGCAAGATGCCCATCACATCACCTGAATGTACTTTTACTCAAGGTTCACCATGACTTTGATATGTTTTGGACTGGAGTGAAAAGTACCAGTGGTGGGCTGAAGAAAATTAACCCATTTCAAATTTAATCCTGGTTTTGTTAATTTTTTTTTTGAAATCACAATTCTTTACACTGTGGGCCCCTCTCGATATGTTAACAGGATGAGGTGAAACTCTTTAAGTCTGAGGCTCCTGTTTACAAAACTCCCTCTGGGTTCGACAAAGATTGTGCAATCAGGCTTGAGAACTTCAGAGCCTGAAGCGGGTCAGAGGCTGGTGGGGCCCAAGCAGGGGCTGGTCTCATGGGGAATGCTGCTTAGGCCTTATGAGGCAACTGTGTCTTCCCTTCGTGGTAGGAAACTCATTAACTCCCCCTACTTCTCCCCTCTTTTCCTGCCTTTATTGACTCTCATTTCTCACCAAGAGAGTAACATGGACTTATGGTTGGTGCAGGGTGTTCAACCAGAGAAGAAAGGGCCCTGGAAAAAACCGAACCCATAACAGAGGAGATGGAAGATCCAGAAAACCCAGGAATAAACGGTAAAACCCCAATAAAGAACACAAAGCAGAAGCGAGGAAAGGGCTCCGAACCCTGCAAAGGGCCAAAGCAAAACACCCCATGACCAGGGTGACAAGAAGCCCAGGAGACTGACTCTGTGTGTTGACAAGCGTTTAACCGACCCCTTCTCAAGGATCCAGCTGCATATGTGCAGAATGAATGGTCCAGCCCAGACATGAGCGCATATTTCCTGGAGAAAGCAAATCCCAAGTATGTTGTGTGTTTGTGCCCTTGTTAGGCAAATCCCAAGTGAGTTGCACAAATGTGCTGACTTCCGAGGATTTAGTAAGAACAATAACTTGGGTCATTGGGACTTAAAGCGGATATGAGTTATAAGGAAAGACAAAAATAAATGCTTCTGTGCACCAGGGGAAAGAGTCTAGTGGAGCTGACTGCACTTCACTTGTGGTTTACACATCTAGAAGCCCATTCATTCAAACCATCAAAAGCCTTTCCTGACAGTGGGAGTTACCTAACAGTTCCTGAACTGATGGACCAGGTTTATAGGTGCTGTTTCCCTGGCTTTTGCTGCTCTTACCTTCCCTTTTGAACCAGTTCTGTATTTTTCCCAAGGTTTTTCACTTGCTGAGTGTATGTGTTTCTCTGTGGGTGCTAAGATGCTCTTGCTGTCGTCACCTGGCTTTAGAGAGGCAGCACGGCCTCTGGACTCTGCCTGACACTGCATGAGAGGGTTCGCCTCCATGCCTCCATGACCCACCCCGGTGCCATTTCACGGAGCTTAGGTCAGAGACCGCAGCTTTTCGCAGAGCTGGTTTGCAGTCAGCAGTGCCTCTGGAAGACCCTCCTCCCAGAGCAGAATGACAAGGCTGAAATCAGGGGGCTGGGGACTGGCTCTGTCTCAGCCACAGGCAAGGCAAGGAGGCACACAGAGAGAGAAGTAGTAATGGGATTTTTCTGCAGAGAAGTAAATGTGTAGAACTACCATATTAAGGCAACAAATAAAGTTGTGCCATATAGGATGAACTGAAGCAGGGAGACACCGGAGGTCAAGAAGAAGTGGAGGCCACGTAATAAAGGTTGCACTGGAGGGGACGTGGGAGCAGAGGTTTGAGGCGCACTGATGAGGAAGAGTCGGTAGTCCTACCCAGTTAACTGGAAAACTCTAGAGTTCTCAGGAGCAAGAAGTCAGCTGTAGTCAAAGTTGACTCAGATTTGAGCCACGGTGACTAGGAGAATGGCAGTTCCAGCAATGGACGTGGAGGACTACAGAGAAAAATGTTGTTTGGGGGAAAAGGTGAGGAGCCTGATGAGAGAATCCGTGAGGAATCCCCACAGACTTTTGGAAGCAAGGGTCTGGGACTGAAGATCGAGCCTGGTTTAACTCTCTGTGCAGACAGTGAGTGCACTCTGACGAATGTGGACTCTGGGTTACAATCCCAACTCTGCTCCTCATGAGCCATGTGACTGATGGGACACCTGATGTCTCCGTGTTTTAGGCTTTCTCATCATCTATTCAAATGCACATAATAATATCTACCCCACAGGGCTGTAGTAAGGGTACAATGAGGTAATTCATGTAAAGCACTTGAAACAGTGCCTGGCACACAGTAAGTGCTAAATAAATGTTCAATACTATATCAACATTATTCTTCTGTAGTCTTCCTTACAAAGGTCATAGCTGAAGCCATGGGGGCAGGTGAAATCATAGGCAGAAGACAGTGGTCTGAGGAAAGAACTGTGGGGAATGTGTACATTAAGGCGTATTTACACCATGTCCATGTTTTTCCTCCAAGACACCTTCTTTGAACGTGAGCTTCCAGGTTTGGTTCCTGGGGTATGTGTGAAGAATCTGGTAAAGATTTTTGAGCCCTATGGCCGGCCAGCTGTGGACCGTCTTAACATTACCTTCTACGAGAACCAGATCACAGCGTTCCTGGGTCACAATGGAGCAGGGAAAACCACCACGTTGTGAGTCTTCTGGTGAAGAGGCTGGGTTGCCTGCTATCCTGTCGGTTCCGGGCTGCGGTCTACTCTTTTCCACTAATTTTAGTGAAAAAAAAAAATGCCCTCTCTATTCATGGTCCCAAGAACTTGCATAACCTACTGCACTCTTCAAAGCTAGCTCACGTATATTGTTTT